TCTAGTATGGACTATATTAGACTATACACTACTGTGTCAATGTAACCTTTCCTGATTTTGATAGCCATACAATGGTTGTATAAGAGAATGTCCTTGGTCTTGGAAAATATACATTGAAATATTTAGGGGAAAAGAAGCTTGATGTCCATATTCGTTTCCAAAAGTTTCAGGAAAGAAAAATACTAGAGAGATAGTAATGGAGCAAATATGGAAAATAATATGGCAAAAACAGAGATAATAAGCAAATCTGTAATAAAGTTAAAAAGATAACACATAAAATACAATGAAAATAAAATAGCAAATATTACAAAATGTTAACAATTGTTGAGTTGGGGAAACTATATATGGGAGTTCTGTGTACTAACCTCATAACCCTTCTTTAAGTTAGGTACATAAAATTCCAAAATGAAAATTTAAAAATATATCAAAGAAACAAAAAATACTTGTACTCACCTTCAGCCATGAGTTCTCATGGAGTCTGGAGAGTGGACAGACTAGTGGCACCAGGGGCCTGACCTGCCTGGCTACCCGCTTCGTAGTGCTCTAATCCCCAACTGTATCAACTAACATCCAGCTCCAAGGTCAGTCCAACCTCAGAATATGGGTTTTCTCCTCAGAGAAAATCAAGGAGCCCTGAAACCTAGTGGTTTGGTATTTCAGTAAGGCAACATGCCACATTGAACCATACTCCCAGTTCCAGAAATGGACTGTTTCCACTGACCAAGCCTCGTCTTGCACCAAGGACACCCTGGAACTATACTCAGTACTGAAGGGCCTCTAATGACCTGGGTCTTTTTTTTCTCCACTGGCTGTAGAGTAGATACCTGCGTACTGCTTCTGACTGCCTGCCAGCACACTTCCTTACCTGTCACCTGACTGCCTGCAGGGATATGCACACCCTACCTGCATCTGGCCTGTCCTACTGCTTCCTTTGGTGGCCAATCACAAGGTCTTCTCAGATGTCTGCTGACCACAGGTACGTCTACATTACCTCTGACCTCCCTCTCTCCTCCCCTAGCAAATAATAGGTGCAGCATTTACACTTCTAAATAAAGGGGAGATGAGCAGGTGAATGAATATGCTGTTCTAATGGATTCTTCCTTAACTTTATGTGAGCAGAAAATTTATGTTTATCAGAAGTAAAGTCAGGCTCTAGCTGGTTTGCTCAGTGGATAGAGCATCAGCCTGTGGACTAAAGGGTTCAATTTTGGTCAAGGGCACATGCCTGGGTTGTGGGCTCCATCCCCAGTGTGGGGCATGCAGGAGGCAGCCAATCAATGATTCTCTCTCATCACTGATGTTTCTATCTCTCTCTCCCTTCCTCTCTAAAATCAATAAAAATATATTTTTAAAAAGAAGAAAGGGTCTTTTATACTTGAAATTGTTCTATAAGATTGATACTGTTTCAAAACAAAGTGGAATAAAATGAATTAAGTACAACACTCACAGCAGAGTGGGCACATACTGCTCACTAACTAGCTATCGTCAGTAACATTACTGCCATTGTCAGTCAGGGGACGATTAACTTATAAGACCTTGCAAATGCCTCAGTTTCAGATTACTACTAAATACAGTGATAACAATCCTTAAGCTTCAGAAGAAGCAGCAGCTCCTTCGGGGAAGAACATTGAAGAGGGTACAGCTGATTGCAGGTGATCAAGAACATTCTCTCCTGGGTGAGATAGAAGATCAGATCTGAGCCCTTCACTTGTTTTCCACCAGATTACTAAGGGAAGACTCATACTGAAAACCAAAGTACCAAGAATATAATCAGATGTTTCATGCTACAGACCAAGACCACTGATAATTTCATAAGAAAGACAGTAATGTTGGGGAAGAGGGGAGAAAGGAAGAGAAACAGACAATACATCAGTGACCATCCATACGAAATGCTCCATTTTAAATTATATGTTTCTTTGCTATCCCTAAATGCACTTTGGGACCTAAAGAACTCTTATTAGCAAGGGGAGACAAATGAACTGGTCCTTGGGAAAGTTCATGCTTCATTATTTAAAGATAAAGGCATCTCCTCTCTAATGGCCACTATCATTCTTTCTGGGACTCCACTCACCATTACTTCCTTCCCCTCCTAACTCAGTGGCCTGAGTCGGAGTGTGCTGACTACATAAGTAAATTTGGGGTGAGTCTTGTACACACAGCAAAAGTGAACACTCCCTGAGTGCAGAAATGTCAAAACCAACTCCAAAAGCAAAGCCCACTTAAGGGTTCAGAGTTTAGGCCAGCATTAGATTCAAGCCTCTCTCATTTGTCAGCCCCTTTTGGCTTGTGTCCTACCTAAAGCTAAAAACATCTGCCCCTAGTTTTATTTTCCCAAATAAGTTTGTTAGTTAAACATCAATGTTAACAAACATTCAGTATCACCACCCCTCAGCTAAGATCCTTAGGGTCAGAGGATTTTCAGAATCCAGAGCTTTTTGGATTTAGAAAGGTACTAGAGTAAATATACCATATACTATGTAACACCCGAACAGTGACCGAGAAATGACCACTCTTCTACCACATTAGTACTTTGCTGTACAAGTTGTGCAAACCCACACAAAGTGAACAAATTAAGAATTAAATAGCTTCATATCAGTTCAAGTCAAGTGTGACCATCAAATGAGTGTCAGCATCAAACTCAGCATAAAAATATTTTGATATTTTCAGTGTTCAGATTTCAGAATTAAAGATAAGAGACTACGCATCTCTCACATTTTAAAGGCAATGGCGGGTCTGTTCCCTATCACACATGTGTTCAACAAACTAACGCCATCAGAACCAGAAGTCCTGGACAACCAAGTCCCTGGCAAGACACAACACTCTGAAATATAGTAACCAGTTTAGGGAAAAAATAAAAAGGTAGCCAAACATTGGGGTTTATAACAGATCTATGTGATAAAAGTGAAAAAAATATTCCAAGCTTTCAGTGCTTTCTAATATGCTAAATAAATTACAGAAAATTACATAAATCAACTTTTAACTACTATCAGAAAATTTGCTATGAAATATAATAATTCTATCTTAAACTCTGGTTCCAGCTGCTCATTCGGAGGACAGTTCCTGCATTATTTAAGTGGAAGGAACAGTCATCGGAGTTTGCAGTCACAGAACTGCCAGTCTTTACCTTCCAGTGGTCTTCCCGATACAGGCGTTACCAGGATTAGTGCCAGTTTGACATTTCCTCTTCAAGCGCCTCAGGGCACTGAGTCAGCACACAGCACCATGCAGCCACCATTACATGCCAGGCCCACCCATTCAAGTGGGGACTACCGAGAAACCAGCTCACCATACAGCCCCATTCCTCACAAACTTGAAACAAAGACAGAAGTAGAGGTATCAGAGGTAAGTTCTGCAGCGATATGCACCCTGAGCATTCTCAAGATTGGGCTGCGCATGGCCAGGTGGAGAAACACAAACAGCGTTTCTACAGTCTGTTAAATCACATACACTCTTTTGATCATCTGAGCAGCCGCCAGAACTGTACACCCAACTCCGAGTTCAGAGTGGAAGCCATACTGGCTCCACTGCTACAGACTCTCATACTCACCCTGGAAGAAGTGTGAGATCTGCCACAAGCTTCACTTACAAGTACACAATCAAACACCTGATCACTTCATCCAGCACTCCCACAGCACTCACATAGACCGAGCACAAGCCGGGCACGGGGAACACCAGCACCGAGAGGGACAGGGACACACGGTGGCTAGAAGCCAAAGCGCTCACAGAAGTGACTCAGAAGCAGGGCCCGGGCATGCACCACACAGGCACGGCTCTGAGTTGCTTTTTCAGGTGAGAGACAAAGACCATCTCCTTTGGCACACCTCCCCCACACGGTAGGACAAACGGGAAGGATCACGCTGAATGACTGCCAGCGACACACAAGGAAAATGAAGCAGGAGCTGTGAGTCCCTTGCTGACACAGGTACGTTACATGCCACTTTTTAATATGCCTTCAGCAAAAACAGATGCATAACCAAAACGAGTTATACATAATTTGGTTGGTTGTGATAAACCTAAAAGTTAAACATTTAAAACACAAAAGCGACTTAGTCAATTCACTAATACATATGCTTGTGCAATATGACAATTTACCAAATAGTTACATAAACATGACATCACTAAAATAACAGACTCCATTGTGTCTAGACAGAAATCCAAGTTCAACTGTTCCACATTTCCTCTGGGCAACAGGAAGACATGAATGACCAGGCAGTCAATAAATGCAAATGTAAAATAAACATTTCAAAATATAAGATGCTTTTGCAATATTACCATTGGTTAGCTTCTTTGTCATTGGAACAGGGCAAACTTCAAAAGAGAAAATAAAAGCTAAAATTCACTGTTTTCTAAAGAAAAACGGTAAGCAAAAAAGGTGACCCTTACACTATAACCACTATAGCTGTTCTATATATGCCTTAATAGGGCTTTATACAGCCTCTTACAACCACAACAAAAAATATGGTACATTTTATTGACCCTAGGTTGACTGTCTTAACATATAATTTCTCAGCATCCTCCAGGAAAAGATTTCCCCTAAAACGATTACCCATCTTGCTATTACACTTAATGAGGTTCTTCCACTAACCTCCTTGAGCCAAGTATCTTTTATTTCTTTCTAAATCCTTACATTTGTAGAACTCTCCATGAGGTTCTAGTGATTTCAATATGGTATCATGGAAGGTATGACAGAATACACATTAAGGTAATAAATAATCTGCCAATTCATAATAAATTCAAAACAGATAAACTAAACATGTGTCTTTTCCCCCTCTCTAAACCCAAATTTTCTCACGTTTCCTTTTTTTTGAAAGAAAGACACTAAAGCTGCTTTAGACACCAAAGACATTCATTATAACTCCTTCCAAAGAGATTTACTATAGGATTTGGAGTGTTTGTGTGTGTGTTTTTTTAACCTTACTAGTATTTACCCAGATGTACACACACACACACAGTCAGAAAAGCAGAAGTTCTCAATGAGTGGGCCCAAGTGACTCACTTACCTTGTCTCAGGGTTATAGCCTAATATGTAGAAAAATGAATCCACTCGGGCTTTAAACTCTCTAGCAGCAAATATGTCAGAAAAATGGGAGATGTTACACTTCCCTCTGAAAATAAGCAAACAAACAAAAATACATTAGTAATACCCTCAATTGCTTTGTAAACCAAAATACTATTGGAGGGGTGGGGGGGGGGCGGTATTAACTAAATCCACATTACTCTAAGAACCTGTAGATGTAGCTACAAACTCTGTAATCATCTATTCCAACAACTGGGAGTTCCCCAGGAAGAAAATGCCCAATATAATCTATTTTTTTGTTTCGTGACTGCTTCAGCTTACAACTTTACAACTTCACTGCTTTTACCTCAGCATTTTAGTCATACGGTAAAATTAAACTACAAAGATAGGTTGTGGGCATAACTGTGATGAAAGTTTATTAAACTAGAAATGATGGGGGAACTTAAAGCCACAGTTAACTGACGAAAATGGCCCTCTTAAGCCCTTCTACATCACCAGAGCAAAACAGCCTTTCCTCCTGCTACCTGACGATGGGCAGAATGTGGAACTGTTCAATAGATGTTTCTCTTTTAACATACAAGAAGTAAACTGACTTGAAAATTAAAACAGAGCAATTTAACTTTTAAAATATATGGATGCATTGTAATATACAAACAAAACCTCCCCAAATTTTTAAGTAACATTAAAGGACTTAAGTTGAAAAACACATTCCCATAAAAATATTGCAATGAGGAGGAGTAAGATTTCCAGGTTCATCTACCAAGAAAACGTAAACCACAATATAGCTGAAAACTCTCCAGTACTGCAGAACTCCTTAAGCCGTGTTTCATGCACCAAATGTAAATGTCAGCAGCATCATACCATGCAGTAGGGCCCACCTTCCCACTACACACACACATGTGCACATACACACACACATACATGTTGAAATAATTTCCTAGAAGCTAGAAAGTAGGGAGGTTTATCCTAGACAGCAGGGAGGTTTTAAGAACTGCAACTCCCTCAGTGGTTTCAGAAGGTAACTTTAATACCAAGTGGAAGCTAAAGGTTCTGGTTAAAGTAGGTGAAATGGGAGGACCAAACGCACATCAAGAGTGCGCCAGGATGCTACCAGTGGCATGGCGTGCCCTCCCTCCCACAGCATTCCACTCCCAGGGGAATCCGTGAGTTATTCGTTAACAACACACATACCAGCCAATGGCCAAGGTGTCAGTGGAAGAAACTGGCTGAGGGATATCCACATAGGAATGGACATTCATTCACTTCCTACCAATGAAAAAGTAATGCCCCCTTTCCCACAGGACTTAAATAACGGTGACCAAAGCCTCAGTAATGGACAGAAGCTAAGATGGGCTCTGACAATTTCCATTTTTAAAATGAAATAAAACAATCTATTGATTTACTAAAGTTCCTTTGGGAATTACTGATTAGAAGATAATGCAGGGCTATTGAGCACTTGAAATGAGGGTGGTATAACTGAAGAGAAATTAGTTTTAAATTTTATTTAATCTTAATATCTCTCTGTATAAAAGCCTACGCGACCATTATGACCGAATGACCAGAATGACCGAAAAGACCAGTCGCTATGATGCGCATTGACCACCAGGGAAAAGACACTCAACACAGGAGCTGCTCCCTGGTGGTCAGTGCACTCCCACAGCCAACCTCCTGCGGCCCCTCCCCCCAGCTGGCCGGCCCCCACTGGCCCCTGGTGCTAAACCATTTCTAGAGACCTGCTTCTGGGTCGGGGTTTCATAGATAGCAGAGCAGCTCCCTCACTGCGATCTACTGAAAGTCAGCCCTGGACACGAAGGTTTGTCTCACTCCCATCCTCCCCCTTCCCCAGGGCAGCATGGTGGCGAGGGAAGGAGGAGAACCACACGGGGTTGGGGCGCCTTTGGTGGCGTTGGCATTGGCATCCGGCATCTGTTCCTTCCATGCCTGGCCTGGCGACCATCGCCTCCTCTCCCGACCCCACCGGAGCCTTCGGTCCTGGGCTGGGATGGGGAACCAGGGATGGGTGGCAGCAGATGCAGCCCCTTTCCCAGGGGGGCCAAGGGCTGGCTCCCTCCTTGGGGCTGGTGGCCAACCTCCTGCGGTCCCTCCCCCCAGGCCAGCCAACCTCCGGTGGTCCCTCCCCCACACACGATTCATGCACCGGGCCTCTAGTGTGTGTATATATATGTATATATTTAAATAGCTACATGTGACTAATGGCCACCACACTAAACAGCACATATTTATATATTTCTATCATTGCAGAAAGTTCTATTAGAAGCACGAATTCGCAGCTACAACAAGATACAAGACAATACAGACTAAGCATCAACTCTTCAGGCCCAGGACCACACGTCCAGTGTTTAGCTGGAATTAAGGAAAGTGGGTAAGATCACTTTTACAGATGAAGAATGCACTCACTCTGCACCTTACTGCCCTCCTATCTGAAGTGATTTAGTCCCTGAATCCAAGAAGAAACAGGTAAGTTCCTTCGCCAGTTAAACAGGGATAAAAGGACCTACTGCACCAATCATAACAGCATTAAGATCAAATAAGAAGTCTATGAAGACGTCTACTGCTCAGTGCTATGTAAAATAAGCTATTTTCACCATCATTGTCCATTACTAAAGGAAAGTAATTCTTTTATTATTCTTTGTTACTTCTCAAATTTAAGGTAACCCTTAAACTTGAGTAATTAATGTATTAACTAGAAATATAAAAACCCTACCACCCCACAATTCTAAACATAGGCATTAGAAATCAAATATGTTTAAGCCAGGGTTTCTCAGTCTCAGCTCTGCTGACATTTTATTGTCAGGAGCTATCCTGTAGTCAGCAGCATTCCTGGCCTCTACCCAACAGCACCCACAGACATCATGGGGACAATCAAAACTATCTCAAGGGAATGCCAATGTTCCCTCGGGAGGGCAACCCAACTGGCTTAGGGAAGGACAAAAGCAGTAGAAATAGAAGTATCATCTGATAAATGACAATGAAGCTGTAATATACAGGACTTTAATCTACCATTACTTACATGTCCTCTATTTGCTTCCCATTTAATTATATGAATAGCCTGTTAATTGACTGAATTCTTTAGTATTTGATATCATTTAATCATTGATTCTCTGAGATTCTCCAGATATGCTATCTGATTTGTAAATAAACGTAATTTTACTTCTTCTTTACCGTTTTTTAAGCCTCTAATTGTACTAAACCTCTAATACAACGTGGAAAGTAGTGGAAATAGGAGGCATCCTTGCCTGCTTCCTGATCCCAGTGGAAATGTTTCTTGGGTGTTCCATTAACTATGATACTAGCTTTAGAAATGATCATACCATAATCTTAGCCTTTAGAGATCCATTTCTTCCCTTAGCTTTATTAACATGATAAATGCTACTAACAGTCTCAATAGTAACCTACTCCGCATTCCTGAAATAAATTCCAGTTGGTCATTATGTATTTTTAATGAGATATTAGAGTTTTTTAAAGAATTTGATGACTTGGATCTAGTATTTTTCTCATTAACTTCTGCTTTTATTGTTATTACTTCTGTCTTTGCGCTTTTTTGTTTTTGTTCATAGCAGCTCTATTCATACTAGCCTAGAAATAGCCCCAATGCCCACCAGCAAGGAAATGGGTAAACAAATCCTTGTGTATTTGTATAATGAAATACTACACAACAATACAAAAGAAAGCGCTACTGATACATAGCACAACATGGAAAATTCTCAAAAATTAAATATTAAGCAAAAGAAGCCAGACATGCCCTAACTGGTTTGGCTCAGTGGATAGAGCATCGGCCTGAGGACTGAAGGGTCCTGAGTTCAATTCCGGTCAAGGGCACATGCCAGGGGTTGCAGGCTCAATCCCCAGTGGGGGGTGTACAGGAGGCAGCCAATCAATGATTCTCTCTCATCACTGATGTTTCCATCTCTCCCTCTCCCTTACTTTCTGAAATAAATAAAACTATATTAAAAAAAGAAGCCAGACACACAAAAAAGTACATACAGCATGATTCCACTTATATGAAGTTGTGGAGCAGGCAAAAATAATTTATGGTAAGAGAAACTGTATAGCTGTTGGCTTCTGGGTGGGAAGTTTTGAGTGGAAAGTAGCTAAGGGAACTTTCTCACATGGTGGGCCATGCCTTGCTTAGGGTCAAACAAATTTATGAAAATGTAAACTTAAAATCTGCATTTTACTGTATATTTTTAAAGTATTAGGGGAAAATAAAACAATGACAGTCATTAGCATGCAGCTGTGGCTGTTTAAAGTTGCTACATTTGCCCACTAATGAGCCCTCCTGCACTGAGCCCTGAGTACAGAGCAGAGCTGAAGACAGGGCTGACAGGAGCAGGTAAGGCCACCATGGATGGCTCTGACTGGGTGGCACCCATTCTGAAATACAGAGTAGGGCAACTGTAAAAAAGTAGGTTGACAGTTGTTAGTATGGAAAACAATAATGTAATTAATTAATAAGAATGAACTGTGTTTCATATACTCCCGATTGTGACCCTTCTCTTGCCCACCTGCATTTTCACAGCACCTCTTGCTGAAGAGTAGTGCTTACATTTAAAAATGCGTGTCTGTGTACATTTTAAGCACCCCTTTCTTTTGTTTCCAGAGTCCCCTTCTCATCGTGCTCTCTATCAAAAGCAGTGCATCATCTGACGAGTTTGTGGGATGCAGGAGGAGAGACTGGTCAGAGAAAATCGCCATCACTCCCCCCTTGTTGAAACAGCTGGTTTTGGAGTCCCCTAAAGTCCTGCCACCCTATTTCTAAAGTGAAACTTCACTGTTAACAGAAACGTGGCTCAAGGCAGGAACGCCCGTGTCCTAAGGTCTTTCACTGATCAGTGAGTAACACGGGCTCCCTGAAAAAGACCTGCGTGGGTAGCCCTGTGGTGTGGTGCCGTCACAGCTGGGAAGTGCAGCATTTGAAGAGCCCTCTGGCCAGTGGGAGGTGGCCATCTGAAGGGGATGCGGGAGAGAGAAAAGAACCGCCTTATGCAAGGAGAGGATACAAATGGAAACTGGCCCAGAAATTCATTCCCTTAAAACTACCCAAACCTGGGAAAGTCTTCATCTATC